GGGGCGCGGCGCTGCGCTGAGCGGCCGGGGCTGCTCCTGGATTGCGGGAAACGGAAATCGTGACACTGCGGAAGCGCCTGCCCGAGGCGCGGCTTTGAATACCGCAGGGAGGCGGCCCCGGCCCCGCGGAGCAGAGCAGAGCAGAGCAGAGGGGGTCCCGCTCCCTCCTCACTTCTTCCAGCCCGGGCTGCTGCTGGGACCGACCCCAGAGCAAGCTTGTCCCCGCGCCGCGCTGGGGTGCAGGGAAATGTCATCCGTTCCCGTCGGGCCCCATCTCTGCTGTTGCCACGTGCCCGCCGTCCCCCCTCGCAGCAAAGCTCATGAGCAGGAAGCAGCCTCCCCAGCTTTCCACTTCGATCGCCCAGGGCCAGTGAGGAGCTTGCCTTGAAACTGCCAGTCACGGCCCTTGTGGTCGGGCTATGCAGTGTGATCGTCCTGTCCTGGATGGGACTTGGTTTTTCATGTTGTGCTTTATAAGCAGAAGCCAAGAGCATCTTTAGCAACTCTTTCCACGGACAAGTCTAGTGCAGTTTGTGGACTTTTTAGTATCAAATACTGCTTAGCGAAAAGGTTGCTCATTTTCATTGCATATTATACTATTTATAGCACATTATTAAAGGGTTGTTTCCTTTCTAAATTAGACTGTAGATGTTTTTGGGTTGTTCACATGAAAACTCAGCAGCCAGGAGGTTTCAGTGGTAACTATCCACAGGCTCTAAATGTTTTAAGAACCAATAACTTGACGTCTCACAAAAAACTGTCATACATTTTCTATTTGCTCATGTTTCCTAACACTACCTTTCTTATTTGCTCTAAGATGCTTTAGATGATTTTTTTTTGTATGGAAATAGATACTGTTTGGAGTCATGATCACAGTAGTTAGTCATTTTAATTCAGAAAGGGAAGTGAGACATTTTTGAGTTGCACAGCACTAAACTGGGACCACGTTAAAGAATTATAAAGGTCAGATTCTGATAACTTTCGGTTAATGCCTTTTTTCTTACAATGATCCCACTGATTTCCATACACCCACCTGTAGAATAAGGGACTAGTCAACATGACAAAGTGGGTAAAGATCTGTTCTTAAATATATTTTGCGTGAGTAGAGAACATACATTTCAACTGAAAAATATTCTGACATGGGGTATGGTTACTAAAACAAAACCATGTAGATCCATTTTCATTTTCAGTTTTATTGTAGAAAGAACACTTCTGTGTCAAAGATATTTCAAAAGTGAACATGTTATCCAGTTACAAAAATGAACACAACAATAATTTAAAGTTAACACTGGTGAAAGTATGTGCTATAGAAAAAGCTCATTAAAGCTTAAATACTTAAAGATTGTAAATCATACATCCATTTAGAAAAATACACAGGAACTTCTGAATCCTTTAGGAAAAACAGCTTACAGATAAAACATGTCCTAGTGATCAACAAGCATCTGGAGTGGAGCATGAATTTGGGTTTCGGGTAAGTTGTTTATTTTCAGTTAGTAACAGTTCTTCCCCTTGGCTGATTAAATGTAATCTTCTTGAAAAGAAAAATCGAATCCGCAATACAAAGGAAAAATGACAGAATAACAAAGATCTGGAAAAAAAAATCAGTTTCTTTAGATGAATGCTTTGGTTAGTTTTGAGTATTTTATCTTTCATTGCTTTTCAGAAACAGCGCTACTGGTCCTAAGCAGCAGCAGGTGTCATACATAACTTGCCAATTTGATTCCAGTGGTTTAATTATTTCTGTACGAATATTTCATTTGGGAGGACTGAAAAATTAAGTGGTCCCTATTTTTAAGTCAGATACTACACTATAACCTCTCTTTCTGCTCTGGCAATCACCTGCACCCTGACCTTGCTTGACCTTCAGCTGTCATCTTGAAGTATAGCAAATGATTTGGTGCCCATGGTTAACTAGACATGCTGGTTTATGCGAGATTATGCTTTCTGCCAGAGTCATACCTCTTACATCTAAATAAGGGCACTTAACAGTTTTGGATAGCAGTAAACTGAGGAGTCTATAGAAATGAGCTAGGGGGGAAAAGATGCTATCCTTCTCTTTCATGAGTTCTGAACTGAAAACACTGACGTTGTTCTTTACTTAATATATAAATGTGACTACTTGTTATTAAACCATGACGATAACTTATTTGAAAATTTAAAGCAAGAGGAAGAAAAATAAATGTTCTAAAGAGAAGCAAATTGATGCTTTATTTAGTTCCTAGCCCTGTTCCTATCCCTCCCTTTCCCACCCCCACCCAAGTTTAGTCATGGGGGATGCTTTAAATCTTAGTTCTCTGGCCTGATTTGGGAATATGTCCTACCGTCTGTGTATCATTTTTAACTCAGCCTGGTAACCCATTGGGTTTGTAGCAACGAATCAGGCCCAATCACTCGATTGGTACCTATGAATTCCCTTAATTCCCCTTCAACCTGTGTCTCCAGAAGATCAAGTAACTTTCCCACCCTTCTCTGGGAAAGAATCTTGAGTAGTTCAGTTCCCCATAATACAAAAGAGCATGAGACATCCCTCCAGCAATATGCAGAGAGTAAATCACTAGTGAGGACACAGTAACTCAGGTATGACTGCAGTGTGGCTGCTGGATCCAGCTACTGATCATCTGAGTTAACTCTAAACCAAAACCCACCCTTAGATTACCAAGCCCAAACAACGGTGGCTGGCACCTTGTTATTACTATATGTTAACAATCTCAGTGTTACTTGGACTTGAGACCATGTGTTTTGTCTGCTAATGTATGAAGTTACTTCAACTACCTCCAAAGAATATGTTCTTTTGAGTAGCAATGTCTGCTTTAATTTCATTGTTAAACACTGAAACAGATGATGAACAGAAAAGTGCGTATGATTTTGCAAAACATGTATTGTTGCTCTCTTTTCACATTTGTTACCTCAGCCTTTGTCTGTTTTTAACTCCATTTCCTTGTGACAGTCTGTAGTCTTACTTTCTAATTCACATTGTCCAATTTTTCAAAAACGTTTTTCCCCCCCATAAACACAGTGTTGTTAGTCTGAGCATTAACCTCCTGTATTATGAGAGCTGGTTGGCATAGGGTCAATCCCTCTGTCCTGGGTATCTGCAGTATTTTCTGCTATTGTGGCTATTCACTCACCTTTAAATTCTACACATTTCCTTGCTTTGGAGATGAAACTAACAGATCTGTAATCCTGCAGTAAGTGATCACTTGCTTTAGATTACCTGTAAAATCTTCTTTTTAATTTACTTGAGTTGAAAGCACAGAAACAAGGTGATTGCCCTGTAACACTCTAGGTCATAGCTTGCTGTTTGAACCATTTATGTCGCCAAGTGGGTTTTTGTTGCTGTTGTTGCTTGACATACTTAAAAATAACCTTTTTGTTTTCAGGAAGCCAAAATACCTCGGCAAGATAGTTTTTATTCCTTTATTAGTTGTCAATTGAATATTTAAAAATTAGAAGACAAATTTCTCAAAAGTCCTAGCTCATCTTTTGTGCTGACTGCTCTTTCCTCATATTTAAAGTTACAGATACTAAATGGCCTGGAAATGTTAATAATTACTAATTGCTGACTACTAAGAAACTACAATTTAGAAAAAAAAAAAGAAAGAAAAGATGTTCAATTCTTTCCATTTCCAGTATTCCATAGTATGTAGGAGGAGCTCTGGAACTGTTCTAGTCTCCGAATTAGGTTTTTAGCTGTAATACACTAGGGGTTAATACGAGAAACTAAAAATCAGTGCATATCTACTGTTGGGTTTCAATTGTGTTGTATTGTCAAGAGATGTAATCAGAAATCTAGGACTATGACATCACAGTAGTATCTAATTTATGTTTGCAGTGAAATGAACTCATTGCTTGCTAAGTCTGTTCAGCTACACACTATGAATTGGACATCAGAATCATATGTCACACGCACAGTGACATTGTTACATTAGAATAGAAACAGCGTTCAAACCATTTCTCTTAATTTTTCAAGTAATTCTTCTACTTACTCCTCCAACCAAGGTTCCTACATTGCTCTTGGTTATTATTGCGAACAGGCCCACAATGAGGAAGAACAATGCTGCAATCAATGAGTTGAAAACATCCTGAAAAGGCATTATGAAACAATTAACTTAGTTTCAATTATATGACTAACAATACTGAAATTTATACAACACATCACCTTGCTTTATTCCCTGAAAGGAGCCAATATTTATTGTGTTAGAAACCATTACACGGTTTCATTATGAAGAGCAAAACTATTTTATTTCAGAAACAGATAACATGAGGCAATTATCCTAATCTGATCTAGAGTGACACCTAGTGGTTTGATGCTAAACTCACATTCCTAAAATAATCTTCTGGGTTTATCTGATGTGATGCATGCAGCTGAAATCTGCTGCATTGTTTAAGAAAGTAGTTACATTTAAAACAAAAGCGAACTGATAAATGAAGGCAATTCAAATGCTTAACTTAAACACGACTGTATATTTTGCTGAGGGAGATCTATTTGCACCTTAGCATAAAAGAAACAACCTTAAGATTGATGTACGAATATTAAGTGTTAGCACAAGGCTTGTTTTTTTTATGCATAAATACATACACGTACCTTTGATGTAAAAGATACAAATCAATACTTACAACTAGCGGACAAAACAAGAATTTAATCTTTCTATCGAACTTTAGCAAGTAGAGCAGGAAGAACAGCAAAGTGATGATAAAGTCCATGATCGTAAGCACGAAATATGCTTCCTGGGATCTTGCGATAACAAAACACAGGAATGCTACAAAAGCAGTAATCTGGAAGAATAAAGAGAGCGTTTATAGGTGTCATTTTACCGTACGATCAAAACGTTACCATTTAGTGCAAATACAGTCCTGCAGAGCTTTTTCACCCGCGAGCCGCCACCCCAAAATGAAAGGAATAACGTAACACTCGGGTCACTTTAAAACTGGGTCTTCCAGCTGCTTCTTCACGGGTTGATCCAGAATACGTCCATCCTTTCATGGACTCCCGTGGGGTTTGAAGCCGGCCTTTGCCGTACCACGTCTGCACTGCACCGGCTCCGCCGTAGGGTTGTGGCGAAGCAGGGCGGGAGGGGACCTCTCCAGAGGTCTCCTCAAGGCAGGGTCGCCCCGACTAAAGCGGTCCCAGCCGACTGTCCCACTTGCTCTCGACAACGCTGTCGTCCGCAACTTCCCCTGGGAGCCCCCGGAGTCGACGCGCTGCCTCTCGCCTCCAACCCAAACGTCCTCCCCGCCGAGTCCCGTCCCCGACGGCCGCCAAGGAGCAACTGTTGTCCTCCCTCCTCGCCGACATGGCCTTTCACGCATTTGAAGACTTACCCCCCTGCTCCCCCCAAGACCAAACAACGCTGTCTTTGGCGCTTGCCCCCCAACCTCCCCGCCCAGGCCTCAAAACCATTTCTGTCTCGTCCTGCTGGGCTCTTTCCAAGCCGTTTTGTTTTTCTGAGCCCGAGACCCTCGGGGTCCCGCAGCCAGTCCTGCCCACGGCCCACCCCACACGGCTCCACGCGCCCGCTGCTGGACGGCG